CCTAGGTGAAACATGGCAGAAAAGGAAAGCTCTGGGATGTAAAGATAATACTAACCCGCCTCAAAAGTCCAGCATGGCAATTCTACATCGTTATGATTATTACAACAAACAAACAAAAAGCAAGCACTCACAACCCCCAACACACTCTAGAAGTCTAGCACCAAGCTTCAGAAGATTAATTTAGGGTTTCCAGTCATAGACTAAACATATTCCAATCGCCTATGGCACACATACTTTGGGTGATTAAACTGAGCTTTGCAAACATACAGGAAAATACATACAGTTTGAACTTTTCAAACATATGAGTGGATTATTTTTTTAAAAAGCCATATGGCAGATTGATTTGCTCAGAGCTCTTTCAACTCTTCCAGCGTAACTGTTGAACACCATTACCCTTTGATCTTGATTGAGGACTTTAATGTTTTTGTTACTGTGCATTTGAATAAATCTATAAATATTTTACCAGTGGAGTTAAAAAAAGGATGTTTCCAATATAAATGCATCTGGAGCAACTCCAAGCCCTTACATTTCAGAGCTTATATATGTGGGGAGTGTATAATAGTTTGCACAAACATAACTTTTCACACAAAACAATACACACACACACACATCCACTTCTATGATAGCTTCCAGTAATTCAACTCTTGAATGTTTCAGTCATTTGAAAGAAGGTGAGATACATAACAAATCTGATAGTGATTCAGTCCTATTAGTGGAATAATTATTTGTATATGACTCATTTCGAGCATCTAGACTTTCCCCGCATTGTACCAGAACTTTGCTGATGAGACAATAGTAGATAGTGTGTGCATTTAATATAGGACAGACCATTCTCCCATCTGGGGGAAGACATCAACCTATACATTGGAGGAAGCCAACGAAAAACAACCGGGATTCTCCAAAGCCACGCTCGATCTTTGGTCTGGTAGTCAAAGCAGCCCCGGCTGGCCAAAGGGCAAGGGAAAGTTTGGCGCTGAAGGGGCCCCTGGGTTGGGGCTTGGCATAGAGGGTTTGCAAGTCGCCCCCCCGTCCGCAGGAGTGGAGCTGGCGCAGTGAATCATGTGCAGTTCTTTCCTTATTGCATTCAGCGCATGGTTTCACCTTCAGATTCTTGTTTGTCTGTGTGTCCTTTCCCAAATAATATTACCTTACGCGAACGAGGTAAGGCACAGGGTGGGGTGGAGTGGGGCAAAATCTCCGTAGGATCCTTTTCTTTTTGGGGGGGGCGGTTTGGGGGGATGTGGATCCTCTTAATACGCCCGTGGGAAAAACTTCGCTTTCCCAATTAATGGTTAGTCTTACTCTGTGATTTAAGGGATTTAAAAAATGGTAACTTTGTACTGTTTGCCGAGAAAGAGATCATTGTTACTGCAGTGGTGGTGCTGTTGGTGGAATTTATGGGCTGTATGAGCCTTTTGGCTTTGTACACTTCGTCAAAGGCGGGGGGGGGGGGGAGAGTGGAGAGAGAGAGAGCTTGAATGCTATATTCATCCATGAAGAAACAAAGAACAAATTGCCTTACTTTAAAGTAAAATGCTTTGGCTAATGAAGGTGGGTGATGGGACTTCAAGCTTTCGAGCCTCGAGTCGCTACTTAAATTATTAAGGGTTTTTGCTGTGTAGTATTGATTCAGTATATGCATGAAATGCTTGATGCCTGGGGTGTGTGTATGTGTATGTGTTTCCCCTTCATTTTTTAGTTGCTCTCCCTTCAGCTGCGCGTATATAACTGAATGATAAACATTGAAAGAAGTACATAGCTTATCAAAGGAAGTTGGGGCGGGTGGGGGTGGAAAAAAGTATTCACGAATAGACACTGGAACGCTGAGAAGGGCTTGAAGGACAATGTGTAGCAATTACTTCCAGAAGATGAAAATAGCCCATGGGGTGCGGGTGGGGTTGGGGGAGGGAGTTTAATGTTTATATTTTTAAAAAGGACAGAGAGAAAGAAGAGTAGAAATAATGCAATTCCAGACATTTTGTGCGATAAAAGCTTTCCTCCTCCCCCCTCCTCCTCCCACTATCTCCAGTGAGAATTAGCATACCAAATAGTTGCGATCCTAATTTGAATTAAGATGCTTCGACAAGTTTAAGAAACTTTGTCTGGCTAAACTTTGTGGTAAGAGAACAAGTTGGGATATTAACATAGGCTGAATGTGTATGGAAGCTTGTGTAGAATGACAGTCACCCTGTTGTTTTTGCTCTAAGACCAGCTAACCTCTGCAATTAACTACTCCCGAGAAACCCTGGCTTTTAAACTGAAAAGTGCTGGTTAGGAGTCAGCACCATTTGTTATGAGCGTTAATAAGCTCCCAGCAGTAGACAAGTATCTTCTGGGGAATGTGCATTGTGTGTCTATGTCCATTACGCATATAGCTAAAGAGGCACTTGGACACTAGATGTTCAAAAATAAATTTGTTCAGACTTCTTCCTAAACATGAACCCTGGTCTTTATTTAATCCAGATGCAGGATTCCACCCCCAACCCCATATTTGCTGCCTTATTGTTGGTTTACATTTTCTGAAAAGGCGACTGGTGTAACCTGTGGAATTTGAAATGCAAATAAAAGCCTGTGGGAGTTGAGGCAGAACAAATCAGCATTTATAAAGTGAAAAAGATTTAATGTCTTTGAAACCATTGCAAGATTTTTTAGAAGAACTGAATCGTGACGTCAAGTCGTTTGAGAAAGATTTTTTTTTTAATGTCTGAAATGTGGGTATGTGAAGTGCTTACAGGAAAAACAGATTACAAGATTAACATCTGTTAACATGATCGTTTATCTACAGCCAAAAATAGGTCAGTCCTTTCTTAAGGAAATACGACTGCTGTGCGCATGATTAAATAATGAATTTAGACTAATGAGTTAGATACAGTCCGTGTGTGTTATAATCTGACCAGTGACAAAAATATTTAATTCAGAGACCTTTGGAGATCATTGTAAGGTCAAAGTCCCTTTTTAGGGAGAGGCACAACTCTCTCTCCTCTTCCTCCCACCCCCCTTTCTTCTTCTTTCCGTTCCTTATTGCTAAATGTTCTCCATCTCCTCCTCCCCCACTGAAGCAGTAATGAATGTTTTCCATCTCCAGTATTGTTAAAGGACACCAACTCTTTCCGTGCAAATGGCTAAGTTTCCTTAGCTCTGGGGTTGTTTTGTCATTAACTGAGACAGTGGCAAAGAAGAATAGGAAACGCCGATGCAAAGTAGCTCTCTGCTTTGCATCTGCCTACCCCCTAACTGTGATTGACAGCCCAAACCTCCAATCGCCACTTCTTCCTCTCCCTAGCACTGAGTGCATTTGTGTTACTACTCAGACCTAGAACCAGGCTGCTTTATTTATTTACACATACCTTGGTGTGTGTGTGTGTATAGATAGAAATCTGCATAGGTACATCAAATCTCATACAAGACAACCATATACCTCTGTTAGGTCCATAATAATGAGTATGCAAAGAGTCAGCATCTGAGAAGATTTCAAGTAACAAGTTGAGACCTGCTGGAGGAGAAGAAATATAAAATGATCTCTGGCTATATTTTTACAACAGCGTTGCAGTCATACCTATGTGAGGCAAATGGTGTATTGACGTCCAAGAGTTACACCCATTCTCAGGTCATCGTTGTTTTAGCAATCTTCACCGTAAATTATTTTTTTTAAAGTGACTGCAGAGTGCTCTTATGAAAATCACTTTGGGCCCTATGGAGCAATCGATTTTTAGACAGAATTCCTCATTGATTTCAGAGAAGATTGCTGGTGAAAAATTAGAATGGTCTTTCATACCGGGAAGTAAAACAAAATTATCATGTTTCAAACTTTCTGAAGTTTTTGTAAAGTTTTTTTTTTTTGGAGGGGGTAAATATTTAGTTCAGTGCAAATCCTTGAATTTAAAGCTCATTGCTCTAATAGAATAAAAATGCTGCTGACCAACAGGCTCTATGAATAATGGTCATTTCTAGATTACACAATAGGCACATTCAGTAAAGGAATGCCTGTCATGAACCATACCAGGTTTTGTGCTTAGTTAATCCTCTACCCCAACTTCACTCCAAATATTGATGTTATAATTTTATTTTTGTTTGGTGTATCAAGAATGTGCTACTTGTAAGTGCAGTGATCCAGACCTTCAGTTAGAGTTTAGCATTTTCTGTGCTTAAGGGTAGATTGTCATTTATCTGTTGAGCTCTTATGTTGTGTAATTACGGTAAAAGGATGGGTGGGTTAGAGGTAGGACAGTTAAAGGACTAAATGCAACCTTTTGTATAAAACAACTGCCCAATTCACTCCGGAGATGGCCAGAATCACTCCTTGTAGACGGAGCCCAGAGGATGTCCAAAGAGGAGCCTTTATTCTTTGGCCTTGTGCCACATACTTTATTTCATGCCTGCTACACTAAATGAGTTAACTACCAAAGGGTTTTTCATTAACTCGACTTGGCAGCCACATATTTAACTTTAAAAAAAAAAGAGCGTAACTTAATTTAAAAAAGGATCTGAACAACACAGCGTGGAAGACTTTTACTCCTATTCAGCCTATTTTAATACCAGATTACCTTTGTGCCCCATCTCTTCTCCCCAACCCCGTGGGTCTGGTGCTTTCAGAGAGGCTTGTTGGGATGGGAAAGGGAATTGCTCGACTTTGTCTTGACCGTTGCATTCCTGTGTTGCATTAATAGCCTGCATCGCCTGGAGGAGGCAGAACACGAATGCAACAAAAAATGCAACGGCTTTCAGATTGGTTGCTGTGGTAGAGGTGGTTTTGCAGGGCTGATGTGGCTGGAAGGTGTGTGAGAGAGAGAAGGGGAGGGTTTGTACCTGGGCTGGCCGCACGAGGGGAGCGGGCCAACCCCAGCAGCAGCTTGTTGCTGTGTGTTCAGTGCCGAGGGAGGGAAGCAGGGAGGAGTTTGGCTCAGGCAGCTCTTGCATTCAGTTGTCCGCCTTTATAATGTAGCCAGGACGTCACAGCCATGTACTGTAACACAAGAAGTTAAAGAGGCAGAGGGGAAACAGCCACCCCTCAACTTCTAGCCCTTAACAAAGGCAGAGACAGGCAGGGATCTGTCAAGAGACACAGGCGCCGAGAGGGGAGGAAAACACAACTGGGGGGGCTCGGAGAGATCCAGGGAGGCGCAATTAATGGAGGAGGAACGTTTTGAGGAGGCGAGGGAGGGGGCAATTGGGCTCAGGCTGCCCCAGCGTTGCCCTATTGGATTACGTGGGGATCTCGTTGCTGGTGAAGCATAGTGGCGTGCAAGGTAATTTACTTTCTATTTTAAACTCCAGTTTGTTATTGTTGAAGGGAAAGCGGGGGGCGGGGGGGGGGACTTGTTGCAAGGCGTGGCGTGCCCAGAAATAATTACGTAAGTATTCAAACCGGCTTGGTGTTGCTGACAAGAGGGGCAGTTTGTTCTAATGGCAAGGAGGGAGTTTGTTCCTGACAATGTATCGATTTGGAAACCTTGAGAGAAGGGGATGGGAAGGAGGGGGTGAAACAGAGAGAAACATCGCTCTCTGTCTGTGGACAGATGAAACTTGCTTGCAAGGAACCCAGATGTATTTCTGGGCGTGGGATAAGGCACTAATACAGTGTAGTTCTGCAAAACAAAGGGGAAGGATGGTAGCTGAATTGCAGTTTTCCTGCGTTCACATTACACTGTTGGGCTTTCTTTCTTTCTTTCTTTCTTTTTTTTTTATCTCTGATAACACAGATGAACGGACACAAGTTCTGATTAATTCTACTGTATGAGTGAGTCACAGAAAATCTTTATCTTTCAATCTTATGGTGCCACTTTCTCATTAGTGAAGGGAGGACTTTTATAGTTTGTTTTCAAGTGTTCTGTAGCTGGAATGCCCAGGAGACAATTAAAAGTGGGATCAATTTTTTTAAATGCTGTTAACTCCAAAATATCACACTAAAACAAAGGTACTTCATTTCATATAGTAATGTCCATTAATCACATAGATGTGAAGTAAATACCATTTAAAATTGTTCTCTCAAGCTGAAGGCAATAATTATGTTCCTTTCCCCAGTAAAATCTTGTCTGTACAGTAATCAAAATGAAACTGTTCTTCATGTAGCAGATAAATACTTGTATAAGCTATTTAAATATTTTTGATGCTAAGGTAACATAGGCATCATACATATGTTTTGGTTGCTGTGGAAAAACAACAACCCTCATTTATGTAGTGTTGCTTCGTTTTATGTCAACATGTCCTTCAGTTGTGTCAAAACAAAACCTGAAATAAGCTGTCCTGTTTATGCTTTTCTCTCTCTCTCTCTCTGTGTGTGTGTGTGTGTGTGTGTGTGTGTGTGTATATATATATATATATATATATATATATATATAATTGAATGTATTCTGTCAGGTGGTGAGAAGAGATAAAGAATGGAATTTATCTGAGGTTTTTCTAGTAAAACTGGAAGCTAAAGTTGTATAGGAACACCTGTGGTGTAATTAGTATTACAGTTCAGTTATTCAAGGAGACATCTTTAGTTTCACAAGAATAACTGCCATAGCCATCTTGAATAAGCTCTGTGTAATAAAGTGATCTGCATGTATATTTGTTTTACTTTGAAATAGTGGTATTATGTATACCTTCACTAGTTCTCAGACATTATAAAAGACTCTTTTCAGTTGTATCTAATAATCCTCTTCTGAATTAATTTGCAGGGCCTTGATCCTTTAAAGTCCAATGATGTGATATCCTGGTTAGCAAGACATATTCTGCATTACTAATGAAAAAAATAAAACCCAAAACTATGATCAGATTGCATTAATTTGAAGTAGTTGAACAGTGCTGATAGAAAAAAATCTGAGAGAGAAAATTTAAATAACATGGTCTTAAAACACTAACTGATATAACAGATGGGTGTCCAACACTTGTTGTATATCAACAAAGAAGTGGTGCTCATAAATTAGCATAGCTTCTTTCTAAGAGGTTTTATAGCTCATCGTGACCTTTTAAATTGCTAAAAATTACTAAAACAATATGCATCAAGAGCTGCAGTCTCTCACTAAATATGACTGATTATTACTCAGTAGTCTGGGGAAATGAAAATAGTTTACATCACTAGTATTAATGCTATCTATTGTTATGACCTCAACAACTGACTTGCTGCCTGGAATGGAGTTACAGCAGTGACATTTAACTTATATAGATTAAAGTTTCCCGACACAGTGAATATCACCTTTTAAAAAAAATTAGCTATATCTTATTTTTCTATAAGTAGTCATAGCACAGTGCCATCACCAAGATCTAACAAGACCAGTTATCATCACAGGAATAGTCAGTGAACAGATAAAAATGATTGTCATCATTCCAAATGTTCTTTGCTTGTCAAACTGCCCTTAGCAGCACCTTTTCTCCATTCAGCTTTACTCCAGCAAACATAGAGACTCCTCCCCTCCCTCCCCCCAAGAATTATTTGAGAAGGAGGAAGGGGAACTGATATGCCTCACTTGAGTGAAAAATGAGAACCCGTTAAAATTATACTTTCTTGGTGATGTTTGTGTGGCATACATCTGATGGCATGATGTAGGACAGACTGGAGGAGTATAATCAGATAAATGATGTAGATGCTAACTTTTGTAAACTTTGGGCAGTCTGTTTATTTAGCTTTGTTAAGGTCATTAAGTGTAGTGGGCCAAATCCTCAGCTGGTGTATATTCATGTAGCTCCATTGACTTTAATGGAGTTACACCAATTTATACCAGCTGAGGATCCAAGCCGATTACTTTTACACAGTGATTTTTTCCCCCTACCCTTGTGGAAGAAAATATAATTACCATACTTACTAAGGGCTTGATCCAAAGCCCACTAAAGTCAGTAATAGCTTTGGAGGGCCCCAATACTGCAAAGACTTACTTATACCCTTAACTTTACACACCACTTACTTAATTGGGATGATTCATAATGTGTTTTTGAAGAAAAAGAAAAAAAAGCAAGTGTGTAAGTCTTTAAAGGAGCTTGGCTCAAGTTTGTAGATCCCGTACTCAGATTGGAAAATTGTGTTTAGGGTGTCCAACTGCATTATGTCTTAACACCATAACAGTAGGAAGCTGAAATACAAACTGATTGCATATAGCAGGAAGAAACTTGCCTGAGCCTGTGCATTTAACTCGTAAAATGTGCTTGTTTATATTTTTAAGACACAAGTGTGAATGTGTAGATGTATGCGTTTTAAGGATGAACATGTATTAGATTTCTACCAGAAATGGCATTAAAAAAATCCCCCACTGTTGCTCTTTTCATAACTGTGCACTGTTTGTCAGTTTGGCAAGAATGTATGAGCCTTTTTATACTTGCTTTTGCCTATGAGCTCAGTGCTGTCCTCTGATATACATGTCCTCCGCGCCTATTGACTTCAGTGGGAGTTGCATGAGTGTATCTCAGGGTAAAATTGTGCTCTGTATATTTCAATAGCGGAGATTCCAACTGTTTGGAACCATGGTAGATTGGAAACTATGAGCTATCTTAACTTACTTTTTCTATAGCCATAAACTGCATCCAGATAATTAATGACTGGATGGCAAAAAACAGCAGAAAGTCAAATTTATTTGATTAGGCATCTGCAATATAAATATTTGAACCTTGCAGCAACATTCCTTTTTCAAAGCAGACATCTTACATGATGTAAATGTTTATACATTTCAGTGCTAGGATAAAGCTGTTATGATTCAGTCACTTAGGGCAAAATTCTGTTTTCGGTTACACCACTGTAATTGCACAGTAACTCCACTGTAATCAATGCAGTTACTCTGGAGTTACATGGGCATAACTGAGAGCAGAATTTAGCCCTTAATTTCTTAAAAGAAAAAAATGGAACCCTCCTTTTCCCAAGATTTGTACTAAAAATACTCTCAGCAGAAATTATTTTAATAACCTTGGTATTACTGAACCTGCTCTAAAATGTACTAGTGGATCATGGTTCAGTTAGTTAACATTCCACAGCTTTCATTAGTATTGTAGTACTTGAGTGCATGTGTTTACTTTCATTACCTGACTGTAATCCTGCAAATGTCCTGTCTCTTGGCTTGCTAAACTTGCTTTCCTGTCTGAGGCCACTGATGATGATTACCTAACATTGATGATTAATTTTGCTGTTGCTGTTTACACCTTAACTCAGGTATCAGTAGAACTACATCAAAATTGGTACACATTTCCTATAAACAGTTTCTCCCTACATTCCAGAAGCTGGTTTACAACAACAGTTCTTATGCAAACAGTCTCAGGATATTATGCATGTGTTACTATGTTTTGAAGGGATATTGGCAAACTCTATTTACATGATGATAAAGTTACATATTTAGACCACTGAATTCATTAACAAACCTAAATTGTTTAAAACCTTATGGGAAGAATTAACAGAGACTTTTAATGTGGATTCAGAATTACTTACGTTGAGCTGAGTATTTCAAAAGTATTTTGATTTTTGCTAACCTTTCACTAAAATGATGACTTATTGGAAATAACTGAATTAGTACCATCAGTAGAATATTATATTTAACATTTGCTTAACAAAGTCCACATTTTACTATAGACGGATATAGAAGCCATAGCCCAGATTTTGTTGTCATGTATACCAGTGTAAATCCATTGTTACTCTGAATTCACACTGATGTATGTGGGAGCACAATTTGGCACATAGTGCTTAGCTTCTCATTAAAGTTGATACAGTTACTAAATACATTTCAAATCTCTAAGAAATGTGTATTGTCTATCTCTTATCTGTCCGTTTTCTTTACATCTTGCTGTCTGGCGTTTGAGCTTTCCTTTCTACATGGTGGCTGTCATGCTTATGTCTAGAAGGAAATGTTTTCCTCCATCATATTTCCAAATTGCAAAGTACTGTAGTATAATTTTGTGGCTCCCAAAATTTTTAAGGGCAGTTTCTGAAGTGATCTAGCTTTTAATCTTTTTTTTTCAAAATGAAATGGAATCTACAAAGCATGTACAATTGCAATCTGCAACTATTCTTAGAATTCAGACATGTTTAGTATATACTACAGTGATGAAAACAAATACTTAACACACAGGGTAATGGCTGGATACAGGTAATTTAGAAAAACCAGTAGCATTTACTCCAGCTACACTACATCTATTTCATATATATTCATTCTGATAGATTGCTTCAGTCTTTCTTTGTGTGTCTGTAGCTAACAAAATAATATATTTCATGAAATAACTGAAAAGAATGTAAAGAAGATATGGAAGATCTATGCATCAGGCATAGATGTTTGCTGAATATAAGACC